TGTTATGTTGATTTGTATTTCCCTCCGATTGTGTGTGTGTGTCTATGCTATATATATATATATATATGTTATTTGTTGTGTTTTAGTGAAATTTTTGCATATGTTTTTTGTCAAGACACTGTATGGATCTTCTGTGTTCATTTCCAGGGTTATATCCAAGGGAGAGTGGTGCTTCGGCTATATCTCATTCCAAGGTAGTGATTATCCTCAACAAGGAGTGTAAACCCCACGGCTTGAACTTGAGCTTGATTAAGTTTATGAAGCTTGAGCTTTAAGTTAAAGAGTTCGAATTGGCCTATGAGCTAGCTTATTTATCATAAAGGAGAGAAAATAAGATTAATTTAAGGTAGTGATCTAATAAACAAACATATAGAATGAGCAAATAAAAGATAGATGAGAAGAAGTCACTTAATATAAAATACAAATATTACTTTTTAAAGATTTGTAATACTTTTAAAGAAAAAATCTTCAAATTTAATATAATTATACTAATATTTTTTTTTTAAACGTGCCGGCTCACAAGCTAATGAGTCGAATCGAGGCTAGTTTGAGCTTAGCTTGTTAGCTCATCAAGCTCAGTTCACCAGCCGCCTATCGAGTCGAGCTCAAGCCGGCTCATGAATCAGCATGACTCACACTCCTATCATTGACTTTTCCCTCCTCCACAGACTTCCCTCTGCTAACACCATCCCTGTAACTGTTGCAGCCGCCCCAAGGACTGCAACTTTGATTTCTCCTACAGCCTTCCCTCTTCCTGCGGCTAGCCGCCTTCCCTCCTTGGTTGTTGTTTGCTTCACCTTCTTCCAGAGCTGCCAGCATCCCTACCACCCCACTAGCTCCCCTCTGCCTTCCCACTGCAGCCGCACAGCCACTTCCAAGCCACCAATCGCAGCATCTCACCTTTCCCTCCCGCATAACCGATCACCACCACGTTGGGATAGAATCTAGTTGAGTTGTGTATTATGTTTGTTGTTGTTTTCACCTTTCCGTATATCAATTTGTAGCCGCCTATTGGCTTTTTCAGTAATAATATGTGTTTGCTTATTATTGCTTGGGTTATCTATGGTATCACTCTCTCTCTTCCTCACACACATTATAGTCAGCCTTATGCTCTCTTTATAGAATTCAGCCAGCTAAGCTCTCTCTAGCATTGGTATCAGAAGTAAGGAGCAAGATGATCTTTAGCATGATCATCTGGCAAGACAATATAAATTCAACCTAATCTTTTTCCCTCTTCTTCTCCTATCAAAACTTTATCCAAAAACTCTCTTAGGCATTCGCCACATATCATATTACTTAAGCAATCAAGCCCTACATATTAATGTAGGTTCATCATAGAATACCTCAAGCTCAATTATCTCAAAACCATCCCTACTGATTGACTATTTTTGGTTGATCTCTCCATCCAGAATGTAAGTGAGAAAGTTTTACAATTTTGTTGAGGTTTCTCGTTCAAAAATAGCAATCCAATTTCATAAATGGTATACTAATATCAAATCCAATAAGAAACTAAACCTTATCATCCATTCAAGAATTTTATCGCATACAAATCCAATAAGGAAGCCAATGCTTGGATTTCATTCATACTTATATATAGACCGAGTACTAACTGATGAAAACGTTTTCAGTTTTAACAAGTTCACAACTAAAGTTATATATTGTATTGGCATATTTTCTGGAAAAAAGATTTAAAATAACATAGGCATGAGTTCTCTAATCATGACAATTAAACAATTTGAAATCAGTTCCTAGAAAGGAGCTTTGCTAATTGGAGGCTAAGTAGTTGTTTAAAAAACTATATAAAATTAGTTCCAAGCAATGAAACCAGCTGACCAGTGGCTACTTAAAAAATATTTACATAACGTGAAGCAAGAAACTCTGCTAACAAGTGGTAGTTATTTGTTTAACACAATGTCTGCACCTGCAGTTTCACAAAAACAAAAAATACTTTCTGCCACATGTTAACTTCGATTTTATTCATTAGTTGCTTGAGTATCCATGGAAAAATTGGTTGAAAAAAAATCCATTTAAGTTACCACCAGCTAGTATTGTTCATTTACGAGAAAGAAAACAAAACGTTTTTTTCGAGTATATTATATACATGAGAAAAGGACAAAGGAAAACAGTCATCTAAACTGACAGAAAAACACAATAAATGACACCAAAACTCCGCAAAATAAGATCAGGTGAGAATTCCTTAAAACATACCCCATCTAATGGATCTAAGCAATTCATTTTAAAATAAGTCAAAAAGATTTTTTATTCATTTTCTGAAAGATGTATATGATCTAGTGGTAAAAAAATCTGTTTTTTTTATTTCTAGATAAAATTACTTGATAATAACTAAGCTAAGAAAATTTTAGACTTACGTTAAAGCACCAGTAGAGACAAAACGTTCCAAAAATTTAACCACTACCAGCCTTGCTCCAACTTCCATCAAAGAAAGTACCATTTGCTTTGGGTTTTTCAGAAGTTTTACCTCCTTCCCTAGCATGTTCTTAGCAACAGTTGATCCAGCCTGGAAGATACAACAAAAGATAATGAGCTAGAAATTTCTCTACGGTTAACTTTCATGATAAAACAGACATCAAAGTTTCAATTTTATTTTATTAAATAATTTGTAAATTACCTTTAGCCCATCTTCGTGGAAGCCGTAGCCTGTCAAAAATTACACAAAAAAAAGGTTACAATGCTCCATTAGAAAAGATGTATTATCTGCCAAACATAAGAAAATACCAGGATAAATATCTAACAAATAGAAAAAGGTTTTTTTTCTTTCTTTCTTTATTTCTTTTGAAGGTTTAAATTGGAAGAGATCTACAAATATAATTCAGTCATTAATGCGCTTGATATATAAATTTGAACTGCATACTTTTCTTACCATTTTGCATTGTGGAAACTACAATATGCTTATTAAAGTCTTTTGAAGGCATTAAAATTATATGTGAACATCCAAAATTTAAATTCTTTAGAAGAGGACGATATTACTCGAGAACAAATTTATCCTACATTTTATTAAATGGGTTTAAGACAAAAACAATGATAAAGGTGGGCACAATGCCAGTTATGAATACAAGGTAAGCAGAAGACCAATAACAAATGTTAAATATCTATGTGTACTTGGAGAAACTCGCCATAATCGTGTCCATTAAGATTGGTATCTAAGACCACTAAGATGGAAACTAATGCGTACGTTGCTTGAGCCAAGGCTAATTAGCATAAAAGTTTGGTAGTATTAAATCTCCTAACAGACCAATTTAGGTGTGCAAGGTAATACAGATGCAATAGTAATATTTTAGCTACAATGATATGTTAAATTTCATATGTGGTGATGATTAATGTGTAACAATGATATCAAACAAGCCCTTAGGGTATTAAGAAAATTAAATGAATGAATTTAAATATGGTTAAATGGAATTATTTTGCACAAAAACTTTCGCTAAAAGCTTCATGGAAGCTATATCATACAAGAGCACTTTTTTAACATGTTCGCATAAAATTTTATACAGAATTTGGTGACACTTCTTTTGATAACGTAGCTAACCTAAATCACAACGCGAATGACACATATTTATTGTTGACTTCAAAACGGTACAACCGTACAAATAATGACATATAACAAGGCGAATGCGGGCATTTAAAATACAAGTATATAAAAAAAACAAACATAAACGACCAACAGATTCGGCGAATGGAGGAATCGTTTAGAGCAACTGTGGGGGCACAAGGAAATAAATCGGCGGCCTACTGGTGGCGGTAGGAATATGGTCATAGGTGAGTGAGAAGCTCCAGAGAGGTGCTCGATCAACTGGAATGAACTTGGGAAGGAGATGGGTGGTCACTGGAGTGGTCGGCGGAAGCCGCGAGCGACTGGGGTGGATAGAAGATGGATTGAGCGGCTGGTCTATGCCAAGGAAGGGTGACGGTGGGACTTGCGAGTAGTTGGTACGGTACAAGCAGAGGGGGAAGCTAGCGGCTCGTCTTTGTCACACATCCAAAGTTGCTGAAAAATGTGTTTTAATTAAATTAATTAAAAATTGGCATTATGTTTACTTAAATTTATTCCACATTTTTCACTTTCATTTCCCTTTCTAGAGCAAACTCCTAACATCTTTCTCCCTTCTTACTAATCCTCACATCATATTTAGATATTAAAATATTTAGATTCCATGCATGAAAATTCATCCAATAATTTCACTATACCAATAGCCTGAGTTACATCAAAAACTTGTCCATTACTGTATAGCCTTTAAAAACACCCACCTAACTCTCATTGATATTAGAGTGATTGCGAGTTAACTTTTCAGAAATGTACAGTGGATAATAAACATGACCCTAACCAGATTATTTTTTTTCAAATTGCAGGTATTTATGATTTAGTTTGAGATATCTCAAAAGCATATATCCCAATAATTAATTATCCTTCTATATGCTAAATGAAAACTTCCAATTAAAGCTAATCAATATTCTCTAAGAACAATTTACAATATGAATTAGAAGAAAGAAAGATACATTGTTGTTGGCTTAAAGCAGGCGGAATGAAGTTAAACATAATCAAGAATTTCTAAGTTTGTCATCTCGGGTTATCATAAACTCTGAGTTACTTAGCATAAGCAATCAGCCCAACCTAACAAAGAATCTTTGTCAATAAAGGTGATACCGGAGTTAACACAAACCACAATAGAAAAAATAAAAATTATTATTGAAAACAAGTAGGTGGTCACAATCAAACACATTTGAAAGGGGAAATTATAAAGATGGGTTGTGCAACTCGGCTAAGTGGTTGAAATGGGTTGTGAGTGGTTGGGACAACAAAAGGAGGAGCTGAAAGGGTGGCAACAACATAGAGGGGAGGGACAACAGCGAATTGACTAGAAAGAATAGTAATGGACAATGGCAAAAAAGCTGGAAGAGTGGCGGCGGCATAGAGGGGTCGGACAACAGCGAATGTTGTAAGGGAGGAGGATGCCGACAGCGAAGGTGAGTTGTAGCAAGGGCAACAGGCAAGAGTGAGAGAAACAGGTGGTCGGGAAGCTATAACAGCAGAAAACAATCAGAAACGACTGTTTTCAAGCGGCAGCGACAAGCGAGAATGACGACGGAAGAGGCAAGGAAGGTGCGGGACTGCTCAAGAGAACTGTCCTAGGGCAGTGGAGGCGAGGAGAATTGTTGGACAGTGAAGAACTGCAGAAAGAACAGCAAAAGGACAGTAGTCATGTGGTTGCAGCAAGGAGAAGGCGTGGTACCAAAGAGAGGGATGTTGAAAAGAATAGAGAAGATAATCACCACTTAGAGATCAATGTACAGCCAAAACACCACCTGAAACCCTAAGATACAGCCCTCATAGAATATAAAATACGATGACGGCTGTCATGATACAAAACACACAAAAAAATAAGGCCATAACAAAAAAAAAAAATACAAATACAAATATATAATAAAAGGATAATTAGAAATGATATCCACTTCAATTGGGAGGCAAATCCAAAGATAAAAAAATCTTCTAGCTCTCAGGAATTCATAGTCGAATCGGCCCCTATAGTCTGCTCCCTCTTACTTTTGTGCGGGAGACATACGTCCACGTCAGTCTCCCAAGGTTGGGGGAGCTTCGAAGTTTCTGCCTGTACATTGAAAGTAATAAAGATTTTGTAATCTCCATGGGATGGAGGGTGTTCGACTACAATCCGAGGCTATTCTGCAAAGCACCGAAGGATTTTTCCCCAGTTGTGCGTAAACATCTATATCGGCCCAACTATCTGGGGGTACACTGCAGAGCTAAACAGGGATTCACTGTCAAATGTATTCCACTAACTTCTCCAAAAGCAACCCAAGGTTGGTTCAACCAGATCTAAGCCGAGGATTGTCTAAATCCCCTGGCTCTTCTCCCTCGTGACACCGTGTCATCACTAGGATTGATCCTCTCAACGCTTCTCGACTGGAAAGGGCACATGTGATCTCAGACTTCGTAAAAGTAGAAGGATGATGCATCTGCCATCTTCGAAGGAGTAGGTGTTTTTGAACTGACATGATGAGTCCTATGATCACACTGCCACAATCTCCCAAGAAAAATGTGGAAGACATCCATGGGATCACATCACACCAAACCTGATCCAACAATTCACTCCCAATCAAAAATTCCAAGAGACACCTTTGCCAAAGTTGACCATGTTCTCCTTCAAACACGTTAAAGAATAAGGTTGGGAATGTCTCTGAGTCGTGAAGTTCAATTTGTCAAACATATATGTAGACACCACATTCATGCTACTCCTTTTATTGATGATGAGGCTACATACATTTCCTTTCACAGTGCAACGAGTGTAGAATATGTTGTGGCGAAGCCGCTGCTGATCCCTCATAGCCTCAGTTTGTAGGACCTGTAGAATCACAAGCATTTCATTCTCATCCGGTGGAAGATGGTACTCCTCACCCTATTTTTCAGCTGCCTCGACGTCACCAAGTTCCTCCACTGCACCCTGCTTGATGAAAGACATGAATCGGCTTGTCGAACAAATGGAAGCATGTGCCCAAAACCAGGACCACTGAAGATTTCTTGATTTGGATTATAATGATAGTGCTACTCTTATCGGGCTTCTTCTCACTCGGAGTGGCTCTATCCTGCTCTTGACCAGTCTGCTCCACTCCCTGAAGCATGGTCCTCCCGAGGTCTCCAACTATGGGCGGTTGTTGATTGATGGTAGTTATCTGCTCTAATTTTGTTATCTATCTACTTTCAATGCTAAAGTCTGCATGTCCCTTAGTGTCCAATTAGGTTGCATCTGTACACATTATTGATGGCGGCCTTCAAGCCTCCAAGTATCTAGCTATGCTGTGTTTCGTTGGCTCCTTAAATTAACACTACAATTTAAGGTACAAAAACGTATGTCGTGTACACCAGTGAGAGCTCCTTTTGTTGCGGGTAGTGGAGTTTCAAGAAAATATCCTAGAGGTAGGGCTGGGTTAGGTATCATCACTGCATCTCTAGCTCATCTTCTCCTAAAAAGTGATTTTGTCTCGTTCTCCTCTTTGTCACTCCCTCTTTAGGTTCTCCAATCACAAAGAAGCATTATTCTTTAGCTTAATACCGGTGAGTTTCACTTATTTATCATCGAGTACCTCCTTTTATTTAAAGATATTCTCAACAGTTTGCATCTGCTTGAGAAAATCATCTGGATCCATTATCCCATCGAAGTCCGATAGGTCAACCTTCATTCCAAGATTTATATATCCTCTAAGAAGCACAGCATATATGTATTTTTGAATAGGCACTCCATCTCTGTATCCTCTAAGAAGCACAACATATATGTATTTTTTAATAGGCACTCCATCTCTGTATCCTCTAACAGGCATCTCATCTTTGTTTCCTCTAACAGACGTCTCGTCTAACAGGCATCTCAACTCAGTGTCGTCTAACGGGCATCTCATCTCTGCCCTCTAACAAAAATATCACCTATGTATCCTCCAACAGACACCCATCTCTATACCTTGAAAAAGGCACTCCAGCTCTAGGCCTCCCTGGTATTGTACCCCAAAGCATTGTGATTTGTCTTCTACTCCACTGGAATCGTGCCTACCGAAGGGATTCAAGTGTTTCTTTTGCTCTCCTTCACGGATTTCACCAATACGATCGACAGTGATCCTGCCTAGATTCTTTCCTCAAT